TTTATCAAGCATGTATGTAAGGCTTGCCTAGTAACCAACCAGGGTACCCTAGCAACTGCCTAGCAACCACCCAAATTACCCTAGCAACTGCCTAGCAACCACCTAGCAACGGCCTAGTAATGCCTTAGTAAGGGCCTAGCGACCACTCAGGACACCCTAGCAACCGCCTAGCAACGCCTTAGCAACCATTCAGAATACCTTAGCAACCACTTAGCAACACCTTAGCAACCACCTAGCAACCACTTGGGACACCTTAGCAACCGCCTAGCAACACCTTAGCAACCACCTAGCAACCACTCAGAACACCCTAGCAACTGCCTAGCAACGCCTTAGCAACCACCTAGCAACCACTCAGGGCACCCTAGCAACCACCTAGCAACGCCTTAGCAACCACTCAGAATACCCTAGCAACCATCTAGCAACAACTTAGGACACCTTAGCAACCACCTAGCAACACCTTAACAACCACCTAGCAACCACTCAGAACACCCTAGCAACCGCCTAGCAACACCTTAGCAACCACCTAGCACCCACTTAGGACACCCTAGCAACCGCCTAGCAACACCTTAGCAACCACCTAGCAACCACTTAGAACACCTTAGCAACCCCCTAGCAACACCTTAGCAACCACCTAGCAACCACTCAGAACACCCTAGCAACCGCCTAGCAACACCTTAGCAACCACCTAGCAACCACTCAGGACACCCTAGCAACCACCTAGCAACACCTTAGCAACCACCTAGCAACCACTCAGGACACCCTAGCAACCACCTAGCAACACCTTAGCAACCACTCAGAATACCCTAGCAACCATCTAGCAACCACTTAGGACACCTTAGCAACCACCTAGCAACACTTTAGCAACCACCTAGCAACCACTCAGAACACCCTAGCAACTGCCTAGCAACACCTTAGCAACCACCTAGCAACCACTTACGACACCCTAGCAACCGCCTAGCAACACCTTAGCAACCACTTAGGACACCTTAGCAACCACCTAGCAACCACTCAGAACACCCTAGCAACCGCCTAGCAACACCTTAGCAACCACCTAGCAACCACTCAGGACACCCTAGCAGCCACCTAGCAACACATTAGCAACTACCTAGCAACCACTCAGGACACCCTAGCAACCACCTAGCAACGCCTTAGCAACCACTCAGAATACCCTAGCAACCACCTAGCAACCACTTAGGACACCTTAGCAACCACCTAGCAACACCTTAGCAACCACTCAGAACACCCTAGCAACCGCCTAGCAACACCTTAGCAACCACCTAGCAACCACTCAGAATACCCTAGCGACCACCTTGCAACACCTTAGTAACCACTTAGCAACTAGTCAGAACACCTTAGCAACTGCCTAGCACCACCTTAGCAACCACCTAGCAACCATTCAAAACACCCTAGCAACCGTCTAGCAACACCTTAGCAACCACCTAGCAACTAGTCAGACCACCTTAGCAACTGCCTTGCACCACCTTAGCAACCACCTAGCAACCACTTAAAACACCCTAGCAACCGCCTAGTAAAATGCTAATTCATGCTAGAATCATGCTAACAACATGCTAATTCATGCTAGAATCATGCTAGTAACATGCTAATTTATGCTAGAATTATGCTAACAACATGCTAATTCATGCTAGAATCATGCTAGTAACATGCTAATTCATGCTAGAATTATCCTAGTAGCATGCTAATTCATGCTAGAATCATGCTAGTAGCATGCTAATTCATGCTAGAATCACGCTAACAACATGCTAATTCATGCTAGAATCTGGCTAGTAACATGCTAATTCATGCTAGAATCATGCTAACAACATGCTAATTCATGTAAGAATCATGCCACTAACATGCTAATTCATGCTAGTAATATGTTAACTCTAAAAATCATAAGCTAAAATCATAAGCATTATTCATCAGCTAAATTCATACTAAAATGCTATTTACACTTTAAAACCACTTCAAACTTTCAGATTCGGCTTTTCAAGCCACCATAAAGTTTGTCCTCAAACTTTAATATCTAGTTAGTCTTACACTATTTTGTTTTTCTGAAACAACATCGCTGAGTTTTTCTGTTATTATTTCAGCAAATGGGATTGTAAAAAAAAAAAATCATTTGTAGTTACGTTGTTTAAGTGTTCTCAATATTTTTATTTTCTTTTTCAAGCATTTGGGTTTTTACAATAATTCAATTCCAAAATGAATTTCGAAGCAATCTATCAATTACTGGCATGTGCTCAATAAATGGCAAAGCAAAAGTGCAAAAATACCTGCAAAGCAACAAAAAACAAAGCTTTTTTAAAATATATATACATACACACACACAACACAAGTTACACTGCAAAAAAATGCTTCTCTTACTTAGATTTTTTGTCTAGTTTTGAGTCCAAATATCTCACAGTTCTTAAATCAAGAAGAATTTTCTAGACAAGCAAAACATGTTGCCTTGTTTTCAGCAATAATATGCCAAAATTAAGTGATTTTTTCTTAAAACAAGCTAAATAATCTGCCAATGGGGTAAGCAAAACAATCTTGTTTTTCCTTTTGACATAAGATTATTTTGCTTACCCCATTGGCAGATTATTTTGCTTGTTTTAGGTAAAAACTTACTTAATTTTGGCACATTATTGCTGAAAACAAGACAATATGTTTTGCTTGTCTAGAAAATTCTTCTTGATTTAAGAACTGTGAGATATTTGGACTAGAAACAAGACAAAAATCTAAGTAAGAGAAGCATTTTTTGCAGTGTAAATAGAAGTTATGGTCCCTATGATCATAATATATTACCTCGGCATTAAATGATGTCAAGTTTGAAAACTTCCTTCAATGCTTTCTTTAACAAATATCAGTAATAAGGATTAGACACAGCGCTGTTGCTAGACATAAAGCTCTGCTAGAACACAGCCACCATCAACTGCACAATACCCCCAAAATAAATAAATAAAATGTATTATTATTATACAGCTATTATTCTAAATAAATAAAAGAAATCAATCCAATGTAAAGACACAACTGGAGTGATATGTTAAGATCTTCTAAGAAATCTTTTGCATGAATATAAATTTCTTATGACATTCTAGAGAACACAAAATAATGTTTAGAATTATCTGTTGTCTAAGACCTGACACTGAAGGCCAAGAATAAGTCTTACCTCCCTGATCCATCATCTCTTTTCTGTCTGCTTAATCAAAAAATCTATCTTATAGGAGCCATGTATAGTCAAAGTAAGGTCATCAGCATTTTATCCTTTGATTGATTAAACTACATATTTAGGTTTTTACAATAAATCAGTAAAAAAATAAATCATAAAAACATTCTTACAAATACTTGATGTGCTCAATAAATGACAAAACAAAACTGCAACAATTAACTAACTGCAACAAAAAACAAACCTGAAGCAGGTGAGCAAGCTTGTGTGATATTGATTTTATACAACAGTTGAACAGTTTTGGTCCCTAGAATCATAATATATTAGCTGCATTGTCATTAAATGATGTCAAATTTGAAAACAGCAATGCTTTCTTCAGCAAATATCAGTAATAAGGACAAGGCTAAGACTTAATCTGTATTTTGGCTATTTCTGTGCAGAATTTTGCCATTATAAATATCCAAGTCAAATTAGAATCACTTGTTTGCTGGAAGAACCCTCATCTTATAGGACTGGGCCGTTTATATACATTTAGCCGCACCATATTGGTGTTTCTTAACATCTAATTTTTACGATGTGGGTAGTTAGCCCAACGATCAACCCCCAACCTAGAGTGCCAGGACATAAACACATACACTACGAACAATTCAGCTTTCCCAATGCACCTACAGCACATGTCTTTGAATGGTGGGTGTAACTAGAGCACCCTGAGGAAACCCATGTGAACATGGCTAGAACATGCAAACAGAACTGCCAATTGACCGAGCTGAGGCTCAAAACAGTGATCTATGTGCGGTCTCATATTATAAAACACCCACTGAAAGACACATTCACTATTATTGCTGAAATTAATATAATAAGGGAATAAATATACACATTTTCACAAGTACATAAATAGATTGAGGTTTAAAAATCTGTAGATTTCCTTGGACACAGATTTCACGTGGGCCTATTAATAACATAATTATGCATATTAATAACCCCTAGTGCCCATCTGTACCAAGCTCTCATCTCTCCTGCGGTTCTCATCACGCTCAGCCCATTGTTTTGCCAAACCATTAAAAGGCCTATTCATTGCTTGGGCTCTCCTAATTATGCGTTCAGACTTTCTTTTTAAGGTCGTCATGACTTGAAATGACTTCAAAATCTTCCCAATTACGTCTTGAGCTGACAAGGTACCCACACACCCCTCTGTGCAACTCAAAACAACAATAGCTAATCAAGACCGAGGAGAGCGGTGCAAAAATGACACCAGCCAGCATCCAAAGAGAATGACGTAACGGCCACCGACTGTGAAGCCGGACAAAAGGGAAACGACGAAAAGACGGATAATGAAAACAGAGAGGGTGACCTGGAGGGTCATCAGGGTGAAGATTGGGGTTTGTGTCTTCTCAAAGCACCATGGGTGAATGTGTTTGTGTTTGCGCAGGCAGAGGCCAAGGGTTCAGCTCTGACCCAAAGGAAGAGAGAATCAGGGCTTGTGGTCAGGAATCCTAGGGTCACTCTTTAGATGCACATTCCAATTCCTAACAGCGATCCACACATTCCCTACAATGACTTCATTTGACATTAGTGAAGGTCTCAGGACTGGAGGAATGCAACAGGCTACAATACACACAGTCTCTGCCCCATAGGAAGATGTTGTTTTTGAGGTTAGGAAAGCACATCAGGGGTGTAGGCTTTTGTGAGAGCTGCCGGTATCGCAAGTGCAAAGAAAAATATTTTGGGAAGAAATCAAAGCCGGCCCGCACAATGAGAGGGCTGTGTTCTAATGGCAGGGAATTTAGCGTGAAGTGGACTTCGGGGAAAATAACCGGAGTCGATGTGAATTCAATGAACACCAGGGGGAAATTATCAACCTTTTATTTTCAATCTGAATTTTTTAAAAATATAGAAAAAACAGAAGTTATTTACACATACATGCCAACAAGGCACTTATTAAATATCCTTCAGGACCGGAGTATTTTCAAATAGAAATGAACAAGTAGCAATTTAAAAAAACAACACAAAATCCTTCATTTTGTACATCTTCAAATAACAAAACTAATTCACAAAAGCTGAAAATAAACATTAAATAAATAACTTAAACATCAACAAAATATGTACAACACATCACCTCTTGGTTTAGATGCAAAAATCAAACCATGAAGGCAAGTTAGAGAATGTTAACAAGTAGCTGACAAAGTGATTAAGACATGCTGGCTATTGTTGTTAGAGTCTGTTTTTTCTCGCCATATATAGTCTTGTTAGCTGTTATATTATGGGTTACTGATTTATTTTAAACAATATTCCAGCAGAAACACATCCACATTTACTTTCAGCATTTTAGACGAACCGGAATATTTCAAGTCTAAAAATGAAAGTTTATGCCTGACCAGTGTTTGTCTGCATCTTGTAATCAGACTCAAAAGCAAAGGCGATGAAATGCCAAACTTAAAGGGATGGTTAAAGGGATGGTTATGTTAGTTTACTCCCCATCAGGACATCATTATAGTTTAATTCAGTGGAATATTAAAGCAAACGCTCGGCTGAAACTGCGCTCGTTTGATCATTCAGGAAATACTTGCACTTTTGGAGTCAAAAACAAACCAACAAACCAACAAAATTAACCCCCATGATTAATGATAGACAGATATTTTGCAGCAAAGTGATTGGTTTGTGCAAGAACAAGAGATATACGTTATTACCTTTATTCCACACACTAAGCAAACAGTCCTCAGTGCATTTAAGATGGTCTGAAGACTCTCAAAGTGCAGGTAGCCATTGTCTAAAAGATTAAAAATCTTCTTTAATATTCCACTGAAGCCTCCTAGAAGACCCTGAGGGTGAGTAAAGTAACAAAGCATTTGTTTTCAGAAGAGCTAAATGACTAGCATTCTCTGGCTCTCAATCAGTCAGTCAACTGTTCTTTGGTTTCTCCTCCAGTTTTGGTCTGTCTTTGGATGCATTTCTCATGTCTCACAGTTTGCTTTCCTCCTCCTCCAGAGGTCTGTTGAGTCCGGGGATGTACTTGAGCAGCCTCCGCCTGAAGCTCTTCTGTTTTGGTTTGCGCTGCAGGCTGCTGAAGCCTCCGCACTGCTGTTTTTCTCCGTTTGGCACTGCTGATGATGATGCTGATGATGATGATGATGGAGGCCTCAAGTAGCTGCGTGTGCTGGCACTGCGGGTCAGGCTGGTTTTAGCAGTGGTGAAGAGCTCGCTGGCGGGTCGAATGAGACGTGGGCGAGTGTTCTCCTGTTTAGCGTGGATCTGGTCATTGCTGGTGTTGTTGAAGATGCAGGTCTGGTAGAGCGGGTCGTCTTCAGCCGTGGCGGCGCTCAGATGGCTGACGCTGCTGCTGGTGCTGTCGGTTCCCCGTAACGCTCGCAACGCTGCAGGACTCGGAGCTCCCAGACTCCCATAAACACCAGCTGATTCCAGAGACTCGTACATCGCCACATCACTCATCACGATACCTGTGAGAGGGGAAACAGAGTTATATATATGCACACACATACACTATACAGTTGAAGTCTGAATTATTAGCCCCCCTTAGAATTTCCCAAATGATGTTTAACAGATTTAGCACATTTGTACCGGATGTCTGATAATATTTTTTCGTCTGGAGAAAGTCTGATTTGTTTAGTTTTGGCTAGAATAAAAGCAGTTTTAAATTTTTTAAAGAACATTTTAAGGTCAAAATGATTAGCCCCTTTAAGCTATATTTTGTTTCAATAGTCAACAGAACAACCCATCGGTATACAATGACTTGCCTAATGACCCTAACCTGCCTAGTTAACCTAATTAACCTAGTTAAGCCTTTAAATGTCACTTTAAGCTGTGGAAAAGTGTCTAGAAAATATCTAGTCAAATATTATTTACTGTCATCATGGCAAAGATAAAAGAAATCATTTAAGAAATGAATTATTAAAACTAGTTTTTTTAGAAATGTGTTGAAAAAATCTCTGTGTGTATCATTTATTATTGTACAAGATTTAAGATTTAGTTTAAAGTTTAGTTAAGTTTAGTTTAAAAATGTAATTTTTGTCATTCAGTTTTGGACAATGAAGTACAACTATTGAAAGAATTATAAACAAATTTAATTTCAAATTTAATTTAAGCACTTTTAAGGAAAAAAAAACATTGTTTTTGTTTGTTTTTAAGTACTTTCCAGGTTTTGAATCCAAATGTCTGAAATTCCAAGTTCATTTAATTCTTTTCAAGAAGTGTGTGTGGTGTATAATGATTAGCTCTCCTGTAAAATGTTATTTTTTTTACTCATTTCTTTTGTCTTTGCCATGATGACGGTACATACTACTTTAGTTGTTACTTTGCAAGATACCAGTTCTCAACTCAAAGTGCAAATAAAAGGCTTAAAGACATTAATAAGACTGGGTGATTTGGCCTAAAATTAAAATCTTAATTAAATTTTGACTATTACAATAAATGAATGATTATTTTATTTATTTATTTTTTTGCCCTCATAGTTCACAGACAAGTTTTATACAGTAAATGTGCTCACATGATTTTTGAATGAAGGTTGTATTACTTGATTTTAAAATAATTGAAGGAAACACACTATCTACTCATTTAATGATCATCAACAATGAACAACTGAAATTAAAACCTACATTATCTAAAACCAACAGTGGTTTTTACTTATAAAAGAATGAAAATAAATAAGTTGCACTTGTGGAAACAAAATAAATTATTATCAATGTTTTTATATTAAAAGAAGAAAATAAGCAGCACCTCTTCTAAATAAATTACTATACTCTTATATACTCTTGTATATCCTGTAAATAATATTTCAAACAGGGCATTTCTTGCATCTTCTAAAACAAATATTTTTATGTAAATAATTATTTTAATATAAGGGAAAATATGCCGTCTTTAGCTCAGCTTCCAATCATCATCAATGAAGTGCAAAGTAAGGCTCAAGAAAGGGTCATTCGTCCTACTTGACCAGAGATCAGATGTGGCTGCCAAAATATAAATCAGCCTTAACAAAGCGGGGTCACGTGACTTCATACACGGTAGGGAAATAAAGAAATTGAATATTAAAAAAAAAAAAACGACCTGGCAAAATGAGATCGATTATTGGTTCTGAAAGTTACTTTTTGATTAATCGCCCAGCCCTACATGTTAAGATAATTAGGCAAGTCATTTTGCAACAGTTTGTTTCTGACCTTAAAACTATTACAAAATGATTAATTATTAAAAACTGCTTTTATTCCAGCCAAACAAAAAAAAAATCTTCAGAAGAAAAAATATTATAGAAAATATTGTGGAAAAACTCAACTAAGGAAATATTATAAAAAGTGTAAATAATGTATAAATGTTTAAATGTAAGTCCAGAATCTCACAGCCGATCAGTGCATGAAAAAAACAATTGTTTGATCTTATAGTATTAAATGATCATTTTCATTAAGTATCTTTAAAATAAATATTATAACTCTTAGTCTATTATCAGTTGACATTACTTAATCCACTTTGAGGCTATCGGTCCTCTTTAAAATCAAACCGAAAAGACTAGCAAGCGTTTCTAAAAATGTTCCTCCTCATTTACCGCACTGGCCCTCTCACAACTCTGTGCTTGCATTAACTGTTGTGTATACATGCAGAAGTGCTCAAATGTCACATGTCCAACCTTTATACACTAAATCAACCACAAACAGTCGAGGACATATCTAAAGGCCTGGGGTAAGCAAGATCACTATCATGTGTGAAAACTCACCATGCACGAGCCGCTGCTCTTGTACCATCAGAGACCTGTACTCATCCCATTTCTCATGCAGGGTTTGCTGGAGAGGAAATTAAAAAAAAAAAAGATATTAGATGCGTTATTCGGCTGCTCATCATCATCATAGAGAATAGGGAAGTGTGTGGTCAGACTTCACTCTCAGTTCTCTATCGCTACTTCTCTCGTCAAACTCAGCTCACGCTTTTTGGTTGCCCTTACATTTATTTTTATAAAAAATAAAGACAACTAACTTTTCTATTTATTTTAATAATGTTAATTAATAATAATAAACAAATAAACCTATAATTAAGCAATTATTATAATATTATAAGGACTTTTCCAGATATACACCAATATTTACTTTTTTATAACAGAATGTAGATGTTTTTTGCCTAATAATAAAACTTGATGCATAATATTGTACTAAATAACACGCGGACATAAATCAACAGTATTTCTAATGAAATTTAGTGAAAAAAAAATAATTTTAGAGAAATTGCTATGGTATTTCACTTTTTAAATTAATATTTTTTACTTTGGTTTTTAAACCTTATTATAACATTTTTTCATATTTTGAATAAATGTACTTTTTTTACATTCTTTATTTCTACATTAACATTTGGTTGTCATTTTTATTTCCTTCCTTTCCATATATTTTATTTCATTTTGAAATAAAATAATTTTAGGCTTTTATTTTTAATCTTTGTATTTTCCATTAAATGTTTATAATTGTTTTACAGCTTAAATGTAATAATCAAAACTTCTTTGTAATACTTTAAACAACAACAAAAATGAAGTGAGTGTTAAATATCATTAATTAAAAATGCAATTACCATTCAAGCTAAAAATTTTATATAAATGACATCTTATAGCTGATATGGCACCACTATATTTTCTATAAACTTTATTAAATTGGTAGATTTTTAACATTCCTGTGTCCACTTGTTGTCAACAATTAATGTTTAGTTTTATTTAAATAACTTCTTGTTTATCCACAACAAAAGCAAAACATTGTGTCAAAACATGGCACTTTTAATGGGAGAGTATAATTTCTAGACAAATCGGCCTAGGAAATAGCGACTTTTCATCTGTATCAGTACATGATGTAACTACAGGAGAGTAAAGCTTAAATAGGAAAATAGAAAAACTCTTTGATATTCTTTGAACTCATTTTTTTTATAATTATTGTTTTGGGGTTTTCACCTTTAATGGGTGGGAAAGTGTAGAGCAGGGGTCTCAAACTCGCGGCCCGCGGGCCATTTGCGGCCCTCAGTGCAATATTTTGTGGCCCGCGCCGACCGCTGTACTCTGACAGAATCAGCGGAGCGGGGAGATAGAGCGCTCCCCGCTCCGCTGATTCTATCCGTACACAGCGCGCTTGTCACTCAATGCGCTTGTCGCGCGCGTTCTGATCAGCTGTGTTGTCGCGCGCGTACTCAAGAGCGATGTTATCGCGCGCCTACTGAAGGGCGGGACCGAGGGTGTGTCGCGTCGCGGGGGCACTTTCGATCATTTTGGAAGGGCACTTTCTATGCAAGACTAAAAAGGGCATGTGCTCTGCACAGGTTAAGCCCTATGTGTGCACGTGCCTGCCCTGCATCTTATATATATATTGATATTATAGGTAGATACAGACTGGTACAGACTGATGTGACTGGAGTGGGGTGGGGGTGTTTTATTTATACATATATACGCCTTTTTTTAGGTGAGTGAATGGAAGTTTTGAGTGAGTTCCCCCACTTTTTTCCCTAGGACTTCAATAAGTCAAAGTACAGGTCTAGACTTAATGATGATCATCTTCAAGCCATACTGAGGGTCTCAACTGCTTCCGCTCTAAAGCCAAATGTGGTTCAGATTTGTGAGAAGAAGCGCTGTCAAGTCTCTGGCAGCAAGAAGTAGGCAAAAGATGCCATGTTCAGAAGAACTGTTCATAATCTTCACTCAATGTTCTATTAATGTTCAGGACATTTCATGTTCAGAAGAAATAATTAAAACTGTTAATAATGACATTTGAGGACTTTTTTTTGTAAAATACCTTATGCGGCCCAGCCTCACCCAGACTTTGCCTCCTGCGGCCCCCAGGTAAATTGAGTTTGAGACCCCTGGTGTAGAGTATTGACAGGAAAGCATGGGGAGCAGAGAGTGGGAAAGGATCAGCATAGAACTGCGAGGCAGGAATTGAACTCAGGTCGCCGTGATCACCGGAGTGCATGGGTCGACGCACTAACCACTACACCACTGGTGCCGAGATGCTAACGGTCTAATCTAATTCAATGATCTATGCTAAGCTAAGCTGAAAGTGTTCCTGCCAGACCCAGAAATCAGCATAACCAATTAAAAAATTATTTAACTTTTTATTCCTTTAAGTTAAGTCAATTTACCCATTCCAAGATACAGGTTTTGTTTTTAAAGTAAAGTCAACATTTCACATTTAAGGCAATGTATTTACTCACATTTTTTCAGTAAAATAACTAATCACTTTTTAAAGTCTACAACTTTGTAATTTTTTACCCAGATCTTTTAACTTTCAAAAATAAAAAATACATTTAAAATTTTAATTTGACAGCCCAGGCATCTTCGTTCACTTTGCAGATTATGGTGAAGAGTGTAAAAATGTGTTTTTCTCCTTGTGTCAGCTGTACTGTATGTGGTATGTAAGGATTAAGAGGGGACAGGTGTAGCGTGAGGGGAAACAGGTGTGATCGCCCCTAGTGTTTCTGTGCCAGAGCGGGGCAGCTGTGTTAACATGCTCGCCTTACGTTACAACACTTGTAAATGCTCGATATGTGCATGTCGCTTTACACATGGTTAAAGAGACTCACCTTTAGATACTGCAGACGAGCTTCCAGTTCTGCTTTTCTTATAGAGTCGCTGTAGACGGTTTCTAGCCTAAACACAGGAACAAAAACAACACAGTGATGCATGTCAAAAGTCATTTCCTTTGTTGTGAGAGTAAAAGATTAGATGTCTGATTATGATATGACTGCATCTAGATAAAGTTAAATAAGCGAGTTTATATATACCAAAAGTATATTAAATGCAAGAAATGTGTCTACTTACTGTTTTAAATAAAAAATAAAATAAATATGGGTAAAAATATAAGTAAAATATTTATGTAAAAATGTTTGTTGCTTTATTTATACATTTAAATACATTTACATTTGTAAATAAACCTATTAACTAATAAACCTATTGGTTTTAAAGAAAAACTTTTTAAAAATAAATGAAAATGTAACTATAATAATAATAATAAAATGTATAAATGTAAATAAACCTATAAACTAAGAAACCTACAGTATTGGTTTTAAAGAAGGTTTTTTAACTATAAAAATATTATTCTTTAATTGATAAATTAATAAATAACTATTAATAAATGAATTAGTATTTTGCAGCTGCAACTATAATAATAATGTTAATTATTTATCCAATTATTTATTTTGTGCTGAATAAGCCTCTCACTAATGTTACTAATTATGCTATTATTTATTAAATTAATGACATTTTACTTTTTGTTTTCTGTAAAAAAGCATCATATATATATATTATGTTCATCATTATACTGTATATTATGCTACGAAAAGAGCTCACAAACCTTCAGAATTTTTTTTTGGCTTTACAAAACTTTATCTTTAAGTATTTTCACACTAAAATCTACTAAAAACAGCAATTAAAGGCCCTTCAAACCACAACAAATCTGAATAAGAGCGAGGCGGTAACCCAAAACTCCCCTTCCCCCAAATGTATATGATTTCATTGGTGATGTGAATATGAAGCGGGAGCCTCTTTTTAACGGGCTCCTGTAAACATTCTCATTTACAGCAGGACCCCGGTGTTTAAAAGTGGAAATAATTGGGTTAAAAGCCATGGAGGGCCTTCATGTGGTTCGCATCTTCGCTTTCCACACTTTATAAATGGAGGTTCATTTTCACGGGCCTTTCATCTTTTATTGAACAGGAAATAAAAAGGGGGAAGGAAAGTGTGCTTCCAATCAAGCAATAGCAGATCTTATTCTTTAAGCTAATCAGAAAAGAAACCACTGGTACACTGGAATTATTTAGATTTCATTTCAGCTCCTTTATTGGGGAAAGTGTGACGGTATTTGGATTCTTTAGAAAATCAGAGATGGAAGAATGTTGGATATTTACAAACCTAATGTTGTTTCCTGATGATTTAATGAGCTGGACAATTTCTTTATGGCGAAATCCGTCAACTGAAGTGTCGTTCACGCTGGCAATCGTGTCACCTATAAAAAAATTAATTAAATCACAGAGAAAAGTGTTAAACTGAGAACACGTTTGGTTGGAAAATAAATAAAATAAAACCTAAAAAAGTTGTTAGTTCTCTGGATCTGCTTTTTATAGCCACATGTCTGTCGTAAAATGTTAAATTATGTTTACTTTGATAAAATAAGTGTTTTACCTAACTACTGAATAATACACATTTAAAACACTTCAGACAAGAATATTATCATTTTAGACCATTTATTTACTGAAAATGACATTAAGTCAATATAAAATATTCCATATGTGTAAACCTTTTAATATTAATTTAATTAAATTAATTTAGTTATTACACACATTTTATTTACTCAATAGTTAAAATATCAAAACTATTTTTATTTCATTTTATTTATTTATTTACACACATTTTATTTACTCAATATTTAAAACACACACACACACACACACACACACACACACACACACACACACACATATATACATATATATATATATATATATATATATATATATATATATATATATATATATATATATATATATATATATATATATATATATATATATATATATTTTAAACATACATTTGATTTACTTAATATTACATATCTCACTATTTTTAATAGATTTGATTATTTACACATACATGTTATTTACTCAATATTTAAAATATATATATTTTTTTATTAATTGTAATAATTTTCCATACATTTACTCAATATTTAAATAATAATAATAATAATAATAATAATAATAAATAGTTTTCATATTTTAAAATGAGCAAATAAAATGTGTTTAAATAAATATTTTTTTATTTAAACAAACATTTTATATACTGAAAATTTAACATATGAAAGCTGATTTTTTACAATTCTTATATTGATGATATATCATTTTCTGCCAAATGCACTAAATGTTAATATTTCTATGTAAAATCTTGAAGACACGTTGTCATTAATGTTTATATAAACCAAAAGCTAACAAACTTTAAGTGGCCTTTTAATTTTTTCATCCTCTATTGCCATATTTTCCAGAATATAGGTCCATCTTTTAGCACGCAAAACATGCTGCCATTATAAATCTAATTAACTTGACGCCAGCAAAAACACGTCAGTGCATTTTTTTCCCCCTTCTGGCGTGACTTCGAGCTGAAAACACTTTGTTCATTGCAACTTTTTTCTTCATTACATCAAATGATTGTTTCCCTGAAGGGTTTTTGGGACGCATCTGTTAAGGGCCTGAACGGCACACATCAATCTGTAATAAAACAATTCCTTTTCTCCTCTGAGAGTTTTGGGTTGTCTGGTGATGAGGTCATGTTCTTTTGAGCGACAGGCCAGGCAGGACAATGGCGCAAAGCATGCAGGGAATGCAGGAAGTGAAACCAACACACGCACGGCAACACCGGGTAGGAGTTCCTCTTCACTGCTGAACTGACATCAGTTTATCTGACATGCAGAACTGTCAAATCGTGGACACAGAAAAGTTCAACTGATCTCAGGACAGAGTAAGCAAGTTTTCACATGAAGAACTCCTTGTTCTCTTCAGATAATAGAAAGGAATGCAGAATCTGCATTTTAAATTTCCTTAAAGCGCTAACAAATCATTAAAGCCTGAATATGGCTTTCCAGGATAATGACACAGATGTATTTTTGAGACATTTCTTGATCTTCTTCTCAACTGGTTTTGCATAAAGTTGCCATTAAGCTTCTATAAAGATTAATACACAAGTTCCAGGTTAACATCTGGCAACCGTTGTAGGGGTTTTCTGTACATAGCAGTAAATAATAATAGATATTACAAGGAGTTTAATAAAAAAATAGCTAAATTGTATAATGTATAATTTGTTTCATAGAACAAAACAGGCATTGAGTAATTTTGATAACAGGCCTCAGTTTGCTTGTACATTTACTCTACTTTTTCAAAAAAAAATGTGAACAAGTTTTGATATTGAAAGAAATCATTAATTAAATCGATCAAAATTGAATAAAACTATTAAAATGTTACAATTAATCTGTATTTTTAAAAACTGTCCTTTTGAACTTCCCATTCATACAAGATTCTTGAAAATATTCCACAAAACTATTAAACAGCAGTGCTTTTAATCCTGATATAACAACAAATTATTTCTAAAAAATCATTTATCACTGAAAACAGGCTTATCAGGACAGCCCTTTTTAATTTATGACATGTAAAATATTAATGTCAAAACAGGAAGAGCAAAAACAAAAAGGAAATGACATGATGCTCAGAATAAAACCTCAGATTAATGAAAGGACTGTGCAGAAGCAAGCATCCCACACATGCACACAAATAAAATAATCTGACTTTACTCTATATGGTTGTACTTCTACCCACCCCAATTCTTTTCTGTAGCAGTAATGAATAAAAATAGATATTACTAGTTCAAACAAAATAGCAAAAATGTCATTCAGAATAAACAAAAATGAACAGCAATATTTAATTTAAGACTTATGTCAAGTACAGGAAGTTTGAAAACACAAATAAATGTTCAGAAATAAACCATGTGGCGGCATCCAAACCATCTACTACTCAGTAGGTACTACATTTGAATGTAAATGTACTACTCAGCTGTGTACGTTCTATACAGTATGAGTAGTGTGAATGGAACTCGGACGTACTACAACTGTCAATTAGTCATAATCACGTGACCTACGTCGATTCACTTCCATTTTATGAATTCTCTCGCGGGGCATCATGGGATAGTGTAGCGTGTATTTGATGCACACTTTAGAATCTCGCCAGAGGTAATAGGTAATTAAGGTACTTTTTGCATACTGTTTTTCGAATACTATGAATTCGGACATACTACTCAGCTTGCATACTGTTTTTAGCATACTACCTAGTACTACATTTGAACTGAAATGTACTACTCTGCTGTTAGAAAAGTACGTTCTATACAGTATGAGTAGTATGAATTGAACTCGGATGTACTACATCCGCAATTTTGTCATGATCATGTGACCTACGTCGCTTCACTTTCATTCATGAATTCTCTCGTGGGGCATCATGGGATAGCGCAGCATGCATCCAATGCGCACTTCAGAATCTCACCGGATGTAGTAGGTCATTTGGTTGCTTCTCGCATACTGTTTTTCAACTACTATAAACTCTGACATACTACTCAGTTAGCACACTGTTTTTAGCATACTCACTAGTAGGTACTACATCTGAATGTAAATGTACTACTCGGCTTTTAAAAAAGTACGTTCTATAAAGAATGAATGTCAGAAGTATAAATGGAACTGGGATGTACTACATCCACCATTTAGTCATGATCACGTGACCTACGTTGCTTCACTCCCATTCGTGAAATCTCTTGCGGGGCATCATGGGATGGTGCAGCTTGCATCAGATGTGCACTTCGGGATCTCGCCAGAGGTAATAGGTCATTTAGGTACTTTTCCCATACTGTTTTTCGATTACTATGAATTCGGACGTACTACTCAGCGTGCATACAGTTTTTAGCATACTACTTATTAGGTACTACATTTGAATTTAAATGTACTACTCGTGCTATACAGACATTCATCAGTAGTAAGATGTACTACATCCGCCATTTTGTCATGATCACGTTTTTTTGAATACCATGAATTACCATACTACTCAGCTCGCATATTATTTTTAGCTTTCTATATAGTATGGAAGTATTCGATTTCAGATGCAGTGTCAGTTTGACAATAGACTGACTTGACGATCTCCGATTGTATAGTTTGAAACTCCACATACAGTTTATGCAGTAAACAATCAAGAGTTCTACACAAGTGATTTGTGCTGGGACAACATGAAGGAATTAAGTAAACCTGTTAGTTTAAACAAATTTAGGCTGATTGAACAAAAAATAAATAAAATCAGTTATCCCACCAAAAAACTCTCTTTTAGTCTTTTTAGCTAACTTTAAATAAGTAGTTTAAACAAACGTCATTAAAGGCTACATGAGCGCTGTGCTGTTATATTTGCTCTTGCTTAAACAGTAGATCCGCCACTCAACCGTTCTATTGTTGACAGACTGACGAGCTCTTACAGTGAGAAAACACTTACAATCCCTCTGACAAAAAAATGACTCCAATTCAACACGCTCTCATTTTACTACATAACAGGATGTTGGGAGAGCTAGATGAGGGAAAGTGATCCTTGTTATTGCTTTGAATTGCACTCCCTGTGACCTTAAGGAGCTCCCTGAATATTCAAGCCCATGTGTCAAATGGCAGTTAAAAGCAGAACTCAATGAGCAAACACAAAGGGCGCCATTAGTGTGAGCACACTTACCAACTTTAAGGCCTGCGAGTAGAGCGGGACTGTCTTCGTGGACTTTGCAAACAAAGGTGCACATCTCCACCGAGTTCTCACTTTGGTGATGAAGCCCGTATGTCTGTTGACACACAATAATAAAAAAAAAGAAAGTTCATGTTAGGGTGTCTCATGTTGGGGAGTAATACAGATATGCATTCAGAAAGTACACAGTTTCAAAGATGATTCCTTGGATTTACTTTTTTAAGATAAGTGGTTGTAAACAACTTATTTGGGCTGAATTTAAACAAACAAATTAAAGTTGAACATTACTAAATATGATTAGTTTGTTTAAAATTCAACCCAGATAAATTGGAAAAAAAGATTTCTGCAAAATCAATCAATCAAAATGAAATCACAATTGCTATGTTACAAAATGTCATGCACATCTTGTAAAGGAAGTGCGGTTGTGTGATCAGCAGAGATCAAATCTCTTCCAAAAGGCCAGAGGGCGCTCTTGTGTGAAAACTCAAAACACTCATGAAATCCCTATAACAGTTAGTGATGAGACGTTTAGATCATTTTACTCGACTCGAACCTTTGAGTCTCGTTAATGGAGTCATTTTGTTCAATTCGTTCAATTTGCCAAAATAACATTAAAATGTTAAGAGATACTTTTAAACACATCTACAACTAGCCCAAACGTAGATCGCACCACAAACAAGTCAAGACTAGAATGCTACAAAGAAAGAGAAACTAACCCTTCATCGTTTACCCGGTGTATTATCTACGATTAGCTCCACTCACCTCTTCTAGCATGTCTTCAAATCTGAGTCGTTCGTTCACCTGACACCTATCAAATCTTTTTCCGGATCTAAATGCATATGATTGTCTTCTGTCTTCATGTGATGAACGAATGACTCAAACCCGATAGAGGACTTGAAAAATGAACTAATCTTCTACTCTACCTGCACAAATGTGCGAATAAACGAATCATTCACGAGAGGACTCATCATTCTCGAGTCACATAAATGATTCACAATAGCATTTGTAAAATAAACTGAAGATTTAAAGCTACTGTATGTAGGTTTTTGACTCTAAAGCATAAAAACTTGCGTAATATGTTAGAGGTTATTGAGGAAATGTGCAAAAGTTCAAATACTAGTTTATACGATAAACAAGTTTATTTAATCCCCTTTGAAAATATTGGAATGCCTCTCTTTGTTTTGGTTTGTGAAAGTCCACAAAATACATTTACTGCAATCGGGGTTGTCTTGGCGGAAAACACAGCACATTTAATTTCAGTTCTGGTGGCTGCCTCAATGTATTTGGGCAACTGAAAATGTAACCTCCGAAAGACCGTAGATGCCTCCATAATGAGACAACATATAACAGTACAAATATTACAAACGTAAACATTAGCTGATCAGCTCAGTTTAATCGCCAGACATACTTGTTCCATTAATCTGACAACCTGTGTGTGCGTCAGGTCATCGGAGGTTAAATGAAAACAGAAAACCTATCTAATATTTTGAACTTGGACTGCAATACATGGCTCAACCACTAGGACAATCTTGTACTGCAGGTTCAATTGCTTTTATTGATTCAATCCGAATAATAAATTACACGACTACAGAATCCTCACATAGAAGAATTTATATAACACTTGACTGAAGGTTTGAAGCGAGTTAAACATTATGTAAAAACGTTATATTTGTTATTTTGACATACTTTTAGATGTACAACTGTCATTATACATGCAATATGATTATGAATGCAATTTCGTGTAGCATTTTGACAAAATGCGCACAGAATCGCCTTCAATTAACCAGCAAGTCAACATAATAAAATGACGTTTAATAAAGTATATTTCAAACTAAATATGTATTAAACCTACACTGAGTTCTGACTTTGGTGTTAATGCCGGTATGTCCATAAACACATATAAAAGAAAAAGGTGTGTAGTAGTATAGTAGTAACAAAGGTGTCTTGTGAAGAGAGTAATGCTATTTATAGATATGCATTCATAAAATAATCCCAAATCAACATACTAAAATGATTTCAGAAGGAAGACTGAAAACTGGAGTAATGATTCGGCTTTGAGTCATATGAAAATAAAAAATTAATCAAAAAAAGAAGATAATAAAAATAAAGCCAAACAAAGAAGACTCATGCTGAGAGTAATGTTTTTTTCTCTTTAAAATACACATTCAGAATGTAAACAAAATGACTCACGCACTTGCTAGCAAAGGTGTGGCTTTTCTTTTTTCTTATTGTTCGACATAGCATTGCTAAACCCGGTTTGAAAGCGTTTATACAGAGGCTTAACACCATAATGCGCTCAATGTGTTGCATGTTGACCTGCAGGGCTTCACAAAGACTGATTAACTCAATGACAGACTCAATGGCTGAAAGGAAGCTGAACGTGAGCGGCGGCTCCAGGTGGTTTACGCACATGCAAACATCTATGATAAACAAGCCACACCGAAACTGGGCCACCTGAAAAGCATGGCTTTTTGTTGTCGTTTCGATGTTTGAACTGTATTTGGAGTTCATCAGCCTTTTCCCTTTCAATCACTCAGTATGAGTCATTTTGATGTTAAAATATTTGTTACACTAATTTAAATGAAAACAACGGTAAAAGCAGCATAATTTCTGTATTAGGAACTCATTGAAAAAAAAAAAAATCTAAAACAGTATATACACATATCTTTCCTCAAAATGTTGTAACCATCATCTAAAACAAGAATAATTTAATGAATATATATATATATATATATATATATATATATATATATATATGTATATATATATATATATATATATTTTTTTTTTTTTTTTCATAGAATTAAATTTAATATATCAAGTAACACTATGTACATGACAAGCAGTTTGCAAAGGGGATACTATGCTTTTACATTATGCTATTTTTATGGAACATATACTTTAATGTGTATTTCAATGTGTAAAATATAGTTTATTACATTGTTGTAATATAATATAATGTAATATAATATAATATAATATAATATAATATAATATAATATAATATAATATAATATAATATAATATAACAACTCAAATCCATGTGACTGAAGCAGACAAAAAAAAATAGTGCTAATCAGTGTTTCGTATTTTAGCATACCTTCAGAATGATAAAGGAGGATATAGACCGTTTACTTGGTGACAAAACAAATTTCCCTTTTGCGATGTGCACATTTATGAGAGAAAACTGATGCTATTCGGAAATAGGATGTTTTTTTCTTTTGCAAAGTGTTTTTTTTTTTACTTAATGTGAAATAACAGAGATTTCTGATTTTGATGTAAAAATCGTTGCTAATTTTCGACAGGAACGTAGCTAAGCAGCATCACACTGAGCAATATTGCAAAACAACACTGTCAGGATGATGATACACAGATTTTTGTGCACAAACTCACAGCATTTAGTATGTAGTTTTGCTGCTTTTAGATCAAGAACAACAACTGCCTTCAATGTCCATTCATATACTCTAAAAAAATCTAGGCTTATATCTTTACAAATAATAAACATCTTCATTTAATGCTTTATTTTGTCCAATCAAAATATCCCATGTTTCAGTGTTTAATTGTTTTTAAGAGGATTGTGGACATTGTCCTTTTATCAAAAAAAAAAAAAAAACGTACACGTGCAATTACTGCCTCCAAAAATTCCTCAAAATGTTGTAGCCATCATCTAAAACAAGAATAATTTAACGAATATATATATTTTTAATAGAATTAAATTTAATATATCCAGTAATACTACGTACACGACAAGCAATTTGCATCGGGCATATTATGCTTTTACATTCTGCTAATTTTATAGAACATATACTTTAATGTGTATTTCAATGTGTAGAATATAGTTTATTACATTGTTATAATATAAAAAATATAAAAATATATAATATAATATAATATAATAATAATTTATTAATATAATAATTTATGGCTTTAAAAATTAAAGCAATATTTAATAGCAGATATAAAAAGTAATTTGTGCCACTAAAGTCCTGTGCAGTTTGCTATAAACAACATCTGGAACTCTGTAAACTAAGGGATGTTAAATGGTTAAATCCCTTTCATATTGGTGTGAGATATTTCAACTGCAAATTGGAGCAAAATGAATACACATCTCCTCTACACAGCAAGAGAAAGAGGAAGGAACTTTGTTTGACGCCAACATGCAAAACAGCTTCAGTTTCCAGCATAACTGTAATCAGTAATTCACAAGCTGATACGCACAATCCATTTGGGAGTCGTTTGCATGTTGGTGCCCTCGGTATCGCATGGGACTTTGGTTCATTGATGTGTGCAGATTCAAATGAGTGTGTATGTGTGTGTGTCACTTCACTGTTAGTTTCCTGACATGCACAGCTCAAAATGTTTGCTGTGGTCCACAAGAGCTTTCACCACAGACACCGGCTGCGGCTGCAAGACACTCTCACGAACTGCAGTTTCACAATGAATGACAATTTCTTAAGCGCCTTCAATACGTAGGATTGACTGATGTTGCTGCTTATTTCCTATAATAAAATCTAAAACTGTTGTTGAGGTTAACAGCTTCGTTAGCAAAAGACACTGTTAAACCTCATTCTGTCAAAAAGAAACTGACTAAACTCTACGTGACTCTTGACGTAGACTCTTAAACGGAATAATCCCCCCCATATTTTTTCAATTACCGACATGCCTTGTGGCATGATAGATCAATATGACTTATCTTTACCCTTTAAGGGCACCTATTTTACCCCTTTTTCAAGATTAAATGGAAATCCTTTGTGTCTCCAGAATGTGTCTGTAAAGTTTGAGCTCAAAACACCTATCAGATTATTTACTATGTCTATCAGAATATTGGTAATTTCAGCTCTGAACACAATTTAGTAGTTTTTGTGGCCTGTGCCTTTAATGCTAGTTCTCCCCACCCACCATTCCCACGTGCCTGTCAGAGTGTGCCTCAATCTCCCTCCCTCGGCTGCATAAGATAAACAGCACAGTGACAGACATGAAGGAAGCCGATCTCACATAACGTTTGTGAGAAATACTACAGTAAGAACTTTCCCAATGATTATTTGATGTATTTGTTGTAGAGTTAATTCAAGCCTTTCTGCCACAATGAGTCTCATA